TTTAAAAAAAAATCTGAAAGCAAGAGGACTGTCCAAGTATAAATTCAATAGCTATAGGGAAAGATCAAAGAAGCTAAATATTCAAGTTAATATAAGACCCGGTATCAATCCTGAACTACTGCAGCCTGCTACTTTGCTGTAAACATGTACCAAATCTCTGGGGCCAACATATATTATTTCTCAACATTTTTGTCATTTGTGCCTCCTGTTGTCACTCCATTATCAGTTCAGTTATTTAAAATCTCCGGTCCTCCATTTAAAAACACATCCACTTTTCCAGGCTTTATTTTCTTATAAGCTGTTGAGCCTGTTACACCTCCGATTCTAAGAAAGGGTTACCGATCTAAACGATTAGGTTGCATTTTACAGGCCCCAGGTAAAAGATTTGTAGGCAGTATTTCTGAAAGGGTGTCATGTCTGCTACCCACCTACTTGCTCCGCTACAACTTTACCTGCCGCTTGGGAGGCATTGACTGGTCGGTTCATATGTAGAATGATTGAAGCCCTTAAGTGACCAATTAATGCCACTTTAAAAGCCTGATCCTGCCACAGTTACAATTTACCCAATGGCAGGAGAAGCCCATGTCAAATCAGCAGCTTTCACTGTAAGTGTTTATGGTAGGCCAGGGGAAGGTGCGTCCTTTCTCACCCCATGTTGCCCTTCACTCCAGCCTCCCACCCAACCCTGTAAGCCCCTGTAATACTCCTCTCCCATCTAACTTTCATTCTAACTCTTCGTATTGGGGACTTTTGAAGTCCCAGCACCAGTCACTTCTCCTGGTACGTTACAAGGAACAGAGTGCTGCCAACCCTTTCACTGACTGGGAGCTTTCTGACGGGGTATCTCCTGCCCAGATTAGGGCAGATGTCTTGTCTTAAAGTAATTAATGACTCTCTGGAATTAGATCGTTGTAGAGGGAGATGCTGGAGTGGTCCTGCCTCACCCCTGATTTTTCTCTGAGGGCAGGACTACAGTTTCCCATTAAATCCAATCTATCAGGCCCTAATTTCCTCTCTCCTTTTCTGATTTTCTGTGTGAGTCTAGCATATTCTTGTTTTACGTTCAGATTTTAAGATCTGAAGTATTTTGCCTTTCATTGCATGTTTCAAATCTTGTTTTAGTTGTTGACCCATACTTCAATATTTTGCACCTATAATATTTAATATGATGCTAGTAGATAATTTATTTCCTCCCCTGGTCATCTTAATCAATGCAGTGCTGTCTTCTCCTGATATCTAAACACTCTCACTCACATACACAAGCAAAATCTTTCAACAAAAGTGTGATTGCGTTGTAATCAGGAAAACAATTCTCCAATTATCCAAGATCATGAGCTCAAATATAGCTTCCATTAACATTTTCATAAATAACTGAACTTAGTAATGTTGAGGTTATTTGAAATATTTCTTTTTCACAAGAGTGAGATAATGAGAAGATACTTGCAGAATAAAAACATTGATTGAAACATTCCAAAATTCACAATAAATAAAATCAGTTAGGAAATTTAGAGTAGCTGATCCAGAAAAGATTTCAAAAACCAACCATAAAAAGCAGTTATCAAAAGTCCCAAATTTAGTTAATTCATTTATAGGCTGAAAATTTACAGCCGTAGGATTAGAGAGGTATGATCTTTCTTGCTTGTGTAAATGCCAGAATCTCACAGTAGAAATGATTTGGATTGGCAAAATGCACTGTAGGGAATTTAGCTCAGAACAGAAGATATTAAATTGATGCAAGGTAAATTGTATCAGTGAGGGAACTGTTATGGCATACAAATGAATTAACATTTTTGAGAAATATTTCACAAACAATATAGATGTTACCTGAAATCACTTCAGATGAGAAATGCTTCTAGTTTGCACAAAATGACTTGTTAACAAAACCTCTGAACAGCTTTATATTTCAAAGGGAAAGATTTAACAATAATAAGGAACAGCTGCCTTTTTTTCTTGTAAAAGGATAAATAATTATGTAGCAGGAATGTACCCATTCAACATGATAGCTCAGGGCTTCAAATCCCTATAAGCATCAACTGTTTTATCTGATTTGTTGGTCTCTTGTTATTTTCCTCATGAATAAACTGTATAAAGAGTGAGTAATTGCTAGTTTCACTTTGTATCCTGTTTCTTGAACATTTCTTCCAACACTTAACCAAAACCAGAAATCACAAATACCATACTGCATCCAGTTACGATCCTCATTCCCTCTGCATAATATAAGTACGTCTATACAGATGTTACATTAGAAGTACTGAAGGTGCCTTTACTGTAAATGTTTTTAAAGGAGGTTTAGTTTTGTATCACAATAAACACCACCTACACCTGAACTATTTTCAGATATGTATTCATTTAGTAGCCAAACAAAATGAAAGAATCTTATTTCAAGCTATATTTTTAGCCTGCCAGTTATCTAATAGAATACAATTTTGAATCTTGTCCATGAGGCCCATTTCTTGTTCTTTCAACCACTTCCATCCTGGCTGTTATGTTAACTGATATCGTTAACCGTTCCCCCTCCTTAGATAGTCCCTTTATCTCCCTCAAATCATCCTTCATGTGGCCTCTCCTAAAAAAAACAACCCCTGAACCTACTTCCTCGTAAACTACTGGACCATCTCCAACCTCCCTTACAACTCCAAAGTCCTTGAACATGTTGCCACCACACAGGTTATTGCCCATCTCTCCCACAACTCCATGTTTGAATTCCTCATATTAATTTTCTGGCTCTGCTATAATACCAAAATGATAGAAATGAATTCTATTTTTATTCATTCTCGGGTTAAGGAAGTCACTGAATAGACCAGCATTTATCACCCATACCTAATGGGCCTGGAGAAGGGAGTGATGAGCTGCTTTCTTGAACAGATATAATGTAGGGTCATCCACTGTGCTGCTAGGAAGAAGTTCCATGGTTTTTATCCTATGGCAGTATAGGAACAGACTCCCAATATAGTTTCAATTCAGGATGGTGTTTGCTTTGAGAAGAACTTGCAGGGTTGTGATCTCATGAAACTGCCCTTTGAGGTGGTAGAAATTGTGGGCTTGGAAGATGCTGTCTAAGGACCTCTGGGTGAGTTTTTGCAGTGGATCTTGTGAATGATCTTGTGCAGCAATGGTGGAGGGAGTGAATGTTGAAAGCCAGTTAGCTTGGTTGGCAATCAAGAGGGCTGCATTGGTCTGGATGGGGTCCAGCCTCCTGAGTGTTGTTGGTGTTGCACTCATCCAGGCAAGTAGAGAGTACTCTATCACATCATGAATTGTAGCTTGTAGGTGATGGAACTTTGGGGCTTTGCTGAGTTAGGAAGTGGTGTATTTATCATAGAATTCCCATGGTCTGACCTGCTCTTGTAGCCTAGACTAGACTAGTTCAGTTTCCAGATAATGGCAACCCCCAAGATATTGAAAGAAGGGAAATATGACAAAGGTAAACAATTCCTGCTTGTCATCTTTGACTTGTCTGCAGTCTTGGTCTCTGTTGACCATACCGTCTTCCTTTCTACAATAATCCATCTCTCTCCACCCCCTAACTGTTACTATATCCACAGACTGCTTGTCTGACATCAGTACTGGAGAACCTGAAATATCTCCCAACTGTATCAGACACAACCCATTCTCTTTGGTTCCAGTTACAAATATTATTAACTAGCAAATGATTACATCTCTTTCCCTGGCAACATCCTGAGGCTGAGATGTCACATTTAGCACCAAGATGAGCTTCCATCCACATATATGAATCATCACCAAGGGAATCTTTTTCTAACTTGTAACATTGTTCAATTCTGCCTCTACCACAGATCGCTGCTGCCCAATGCCTTTGTTCATGCTCAATGCCATCCATGCCTCTGTTACTCCCAGGTCCAATAATTCCAATGCATTCCTGATACCCTCCCACATTCAATCCTCTATAAACTTGATGTCATCCAACTATGCCATCCTTTCTAACTCACCGTCTCTGTGTTTGTTGATTTATATTGGCCCTTGTTTAAACAATATTTTAAAATTCTCTCCCGTTTTAAAATCTCTTCGTGGCCTTGTCCATTCCCACCTCTCTAATCTATTCCACTCCAGAATATTTTGTTATTCTTTCACAGGATTTGTTACCTATCCCTAATTTCCCAGAGGGCAGTTAACAGTCTACCATATTGCCGTGGGTCTGGAGTCACATATAGGCCAGATGAGGTAAGGACAGTGGTTTCCTTCCCTAAAGGATATTATTGAACCAGATGAGTTTTTTCCTGACAATTGACAATGAATTTATGGTCATCATTTGACTCTTAATTCCACAGTTGTTTATTTGAATTCAAATTCCACCATCTGCTGTGATGGGATTCAAACCTGGGTCCCCAGAACATTACTTGTGTCTCCAGATTAACAGTCCAGCGATATTAGCACCAGGCTTTCACCTCCCCCTAAATTATTTGCACTCCTTGAATTCTTGTCACTTGAGCATCCCAGATTTTAATTGTCAAAACCCTAAATCCTCTGGCTCTCTAACTTGTTTTCTTCCTTTAAGGTGTCTGTTAAAGTCTTCTGCTTTTTTCAAGTTTTTTAGTCATCTGGCTAAACACCTAACACAATAAGACTATAAGACAAAGGAGCAGAAGTCGTCTGCTCCACCATTCAATGAGATCATGGCTGATCTGATAATCATCATTTGGTTTACGGCCAAATTTTACTTCATAATACTTATATGAAGCACATGGGGCCATTTTACTACGTTCAAGATGCTGTATCAATATTTGTTGTCATTTTTGAAAGTTGTTTGATTTAGCAGTACAATGTAATGACAACTTCAGTACCTTTACTACATTTACATTTCTAGGCCCCCTGTGGAGCAGTGTTATGGTTGTACAGTCTGACTAATATAATCAGTTCCTTGTCAATCATCAAATCAACCTTCAGTACTCAAAACACAAAACATTTTCAATATTATAAAATTAAACACACTTAATCACAAGGAAAGTATTGAGTAAACACCTGAGAAAAATGCATTCACTTACTTGCAAGAAAGTTTATTAATACCATCAATATAATAACACACACCGCCATTGACACAGTAGGATTTCTCAGACTCATTGCATCTTCTAGCATGTCCAGATTCAGGTGATAGTGTAGTTGTAGCAGCTGCAAATAAAAACACGCATAAGTTTAGAATTAGTAGGAACTGCAGATGCTAGAGAATCTGAGATAACAAGGTATAGAGCTGGATGAACACAGCAGGCCAAGCAGCATCAGAGGAGCAGGAAAGCTGACATTTTGGGCCTAGACCCTTCTTTCTGAAG